GTAGACTGCTTCCACCAAAACAGTATACCGTTTCCGCAAAATGGTACGTACCTTTTATGGTGAACAATCTCCACTTTCGCGAACTCACCCAAAGGCAAAGTTATCTTATACTTACATTATAAAAATAATGGACAATAGGAAACCTACAATACAAAATTGTTTGTATTATTGCAGCATCCTATTGCTTGTGGGCAACCAAATTCCTACGCAGATTATAGGCCAAGACAAAAGAAACAACACCCACTTTTAACACTTTTAGAGTAAAAAGTTCACAAGAGCAAGATGATACTAGATTTATGGACTTTGAAGATGACACAATTGTATGACAATTATACTCTGCTTTTAGAGCATCTTCATAACAACAATAGCAACAAAGTTGATCCATAGGAAGATAACTACATGATAAAAACAAGCGAACTCAGAATCGGAAGGAAAGATGAAAGTCACTATAGAATAAGTCAAATATAAGAAATAAATATGCAGATTATTTTTCAAATTTACGAGAGAATAATCACTCAAGAAACTTGCATCTATACTCTAGCTTTAGTACTAATTTTAACTCTCTTACTAGCAAACATATCTATTATTATCAGACTCTAATTATGAATGATGAAATCACTAACAATTGTTGTTGACCGATTGTTAAAAGCGGTGGGCAATTTTGTGGAAGTGGTAGACTACTTGATGTAAGTGGTAGACCATTTTGTTGTAAAATTGCAGACATTTTAGTGGAAGAGGTTAGCCGTTTGTTGAACATTCTATAATGGAAAATAGTACATATGGTTGATCATTCCAGTAAACAGGTTTACCATTTTGTTCAATGAGGTCGAGCAAATCAGTGAAGAGGTCCACCGTTTTGTCCACGTCACGATGACTTGTAACTCACCGTAACAAAGTCCAAAAACTTATGAAATTCATTTATACTAGGAATGAGCCCGCTCTCCGCTGCGGGATATGATTTAGTTTTGGAATCAGATGGTTCATTAAGTATTTAGTTTTGTAGTGTAGAGTTTTCCGATGAATAGATTCTTACACTAACATTGTTCAACATTGCAATATAACTATTCCCAAAAGTCATATTTGTTTGATCCACAGAAAGGCGACCCAACTATCCAAACTTCAGTTGAAACGTCTATTGCCCAGAATTAGAAAAATTCCTCTCATCCTTTGGGTAGCTACCCGTTCCCTTTGTAGATAATTGAAAAACAATGGGTGAGAATTAGATGATGCCTTGAACTACTATTGTAGCTTAAAACTGGGGAAAAAATGATTATTAGATTCTTTTGAGATTGGTGCAGCAAACAAACAGACAGAAAGTAGTGTTAACTTCTCTTTAACAACATCTTTACTAACATTTGTTGACAGATTGCTATAACCAATTAAAGAAGACCATAACGAATAGCAACATATGTCATCAGTTCCATCATCTAGCTTGCTACAAATCTCTGACTAACTCTCACCCACACAGCAAAGTGAGTCAAAGGTATTCACCAATTCATGATACAATAGAATTGGAACATAATACTGGGATGATTTATACATCTATAAACGCTGCATTGGAAATAAACAGTAGGTACATAGAATCCACTGGCGTTGCTGCAAAGACACCGTGAAGCTATGCTGCAAAGAATCCACTGGCGTTGACGATGATGCTGTTGATTGGGTGATTCATGTGCACGCTGATATTTTCCTGGGCTATTGCTGAGGTTGGTTGTGGTTGGCCACAGAAAGGATGGTAAACTCCAAAGGGGTCTGAGGTAAATAGCCAGGTTTAGGGAGATGAACGTCAAATGAAAACCAGCGTCCATTCATGGCAGCAATTTCTGGAGGGCAATAGCCATGCTGTTGAGGGTAACGCGCCGACAGTTCGTCAGCAGTAACTCCAAGTAAAAACTCAGCGGTCTTCCCAAGCATGATAAAGCATGCAGAACCTGTAGTGTCTCCCACTGCCAAATGGATTTTGTAGCTGAGAAAGTGTATAAGAATTTCAGGGTTTGCTGATCGTGGAAATTGCAATGAAAGAAACAGTGTTTGTGTTAAACAAACCATTTCTGGGTTTCCTGAGGTATCAACTGGCCGTGCTCATCACACCAAAAATCAGTAGTACCAGGAAACTATCTAGTTGTTTTGGAGCAAAATGCACATCCTAGATAAAACCATGGTCGGGAAGACTGAGCGGAGAGGACCTGTGCTAAGCAATGGTAATGTGTAGCCTATAAGTAAATAAAGCAGGCAAGCAAAGTAAGTTAAGCAGGGAAGCACTTTGTTAGTTTAGGGAAAATGGAATTGCACAAACAGTAGCATCAATTGGTACAGCAGTCAGATCTAGTGTGGCACAAGACCTAATCATTCAATGTAAAACAGAATCCTCTGCAAAAGTGACAGCTAAAAGTAAACATACAAACAAATAGGTTAGGTATAATAAATTAGCATGTTATGCTTGATCTCAGTATGGATGCATGAAATGCAGTGCTGGCAGAGAAAGGTTTGTGTAAGAAGCACGTACATTAACCATTGATGGGTTGCAAAGGCGGATCAGGTCCAGAATTTTCTTTGTACTGTCAGCCTGGAATAGGTGTTCTTCAAAAGAGGTTGAGAACCACGGAGGATAGTATTGAATCGTATCATTTCCACCAAGAGAGCTATACATTGGGGAAAATATTAGATAAAGAAAAAGTAAATTGTCGAAAAGTGACATTGGAAGCAACTTACGCAGAGCGCAAAGTATTTGCCAAATCACAAGATGGTTCTAGCACAAAGCGTGTGGCAGGGGTGCTGGTCAAAAATATGGGGTCTTGGAAAAACAGTGGAAAAGTAGGCATCAGTACATGATAATGTAGATAAGTCAAACCATTAATTGTCAGGTAGAAAGCTGCGATCTAACCTGTTGTTACATCACTAATCTGAAGACTACATACACCTAGTACAAAAGAACCAGAACGGCCAAGGTATGCCAGTTCTTCCCCATCTAGAGATCGTGCAACATCGCCAAAGATGGCGATATTAAGGCGTACATGCTTGTAAAAGTACAGCGAAACAAAGACAATGATAAAAGAGGAAATAAAAGAGAACAAATGAAGGACTGGAAAAGTACACAAGTGTAATGCATCGAAAACCTCTCGTTTTGTATGACCAGCTTGCGCCTAATAATAGCACGAGCAGAGGTTACCAGCTTGCAAGGTACTGTGGCTATCTGTAGTTCTGTAGAAACAGATCATAGATGTCTTCTGTAATGGAGCCAATGGGGTGAGTGCCATGGTCCACCAAAAAGATCTGCGGAATCTGAATCCAATCTGATGGAGTATTTGGCTTAAACGATGTTGTCTTAAGCTTTCCATCTCCCAAAGCAAGCACCCACTCTGGGAATGTGTAGCCATGCATGAAACTTGCTTCATCTGCCACTAAATTGGTGATCCTCATGTTTCTAGATAGCTTTAGTAGTTTAAAAGAACTCCACAAGAGTGATCTGGTAAGCGAACCATCAACTATTTGCTCTCGACCTGCTTCTGTTATGATTGGAAGTGTCTGGGGAAAATCTCCCCCGAAAAGAACAGTTTCCCCTCCAAAAGGCTTGTACAGTGAGCCCCTCAGTGGAATATTCATTATATCACAAAAGCTGCGATCCACAGCTTCGAAAGCCAGTCGGTGTGTCATAGGCGCTTCGTCCCAGATAATCAGAGAAGCTTCCCGGATCAACTCAGCTAAGTGTGTACCTTTTTTTATTGGACATGTTGATGTTGTGTCTAAGGTCAGAGGTATCTTAAATCTCGAGTGGGCAGTGGTGGCTTTAGGCAGTAACGTTGCTGCAATTTCAGATGAGGCAACCAGAACAACAATTTTTGACATACTTCTTAGTCTCGCTGTTATTGAGTTGTAGAGGAATGTTTTCCCTGTGCCACCATGGCCATATAACATAGTGCTTGATAAGATTGCCTGTGAATTTGTATCAAAATTCAGGTGGTTGTTAATAAGTGGATTTGCTTCATCATCAAAATCTGCATCATCCGTGGGGATAGGGAGTCCAAAATCTTTAAGCGCGGATGAGTGAGACCCAAGGATTTGTTGTAACTGTCGCAAAACCCAATTATGTATTCTTTCATCAGTTGGACTGTTATTTCCAGGTGGCAGAGTTGTGCAGATACTATAAGCATAATCATCTCCCATAGATCGCCAAGCTGAGTCATACAGTGCCAAAGGGTTTGGAATTTCGCAAAACATCAGCATAGACACAAAGGTGGTGCCAATTACTCGTGGCATGCTTGAGGCAGAAATTTCAGAAAGCACTCTCACCCACTCTGATGAATCTGATAGCAAGCCTAACCGATTGCAAGATTTTTCAAAATCGGGACATATTTCTCCATTGACAGTCCTCATATGACGGTAGCTAAGAGATCCGCGAACTTTGGTAAGTAACATGCGAAGGAAAAACACGTCTCCTGATCCTGGAGGTACATACGCAACCCTTCCAATCGCAAATCCTCTCTTGCGTGGAGTCCATTCTTTACAGTTAGGTAGCCAAGTATACTTATTTGGGATCTGTGCATATGTCAAACTTCTTGCCTCAGGATCTCTACAATTCAGTGCAAACCATTCTGTCAAGTGTGTTTTACCCGCATTTGGATCTCTCAGAACTTTGTCGATGCTTGATTGCTTCCTGTAGGGAACTTTCTGATGGCCATCAAGATGTACGCCCAAGCGCACAACAGCTGGTTCTCTAACATGAATTGGATACTCATTCAACCGCCATATAGCCTCATACGACGACAACGTTCTGCAATCGATAAATTGTTGTGTATCATCTTTGTGTCTTGCATCCTGCGTTGGTGGGTCTGTGGCTTGTGTTGCAGGATTTTCAGCAATAACCAATGATATGTCTGGGCCCTTTGTTACATACTTGAAGAGGTATTTTATGAGCTTCCCCTTGTGACATACCTCCACGTTGACGTGGGCTTGTAATCGAACCAAAAAAATTCTGTTGTATGGTACAACATGTCGGTTGTCTAAAATTGCACTCCCTTTTGCACTTGGATTCCAGAGTCCCTTCTTCTATAGATAGCACAACCAGACTTGTCAAACGTAGTTGCTGAATTGAAATCCTTTGGGAAATGTTTGGAACACTTATCTTTCCTGGAGTTTTTCTTGTCTCTCATACATGGAGCGTTTGCATTTGCTCCACCACAAGGTCCATGAAGCATGTATTTGACAACAGAGTCATATCCCAAAGGGTCAACCTCAGGGTTTGGAAGTTCTGCCGATAACACTGCATCTATATCGGCTGTTGTTCGCAACTTGTCCTCTTCAGCAAGCCAAACTAATAGATGGATATGTGGCAACCCTCTCTTCTGGAACTCAACTGTGTACATAACTGAAATAGCAAACGTATTGTTGAGGTAAATACAAATTAGAAGCGGAGGAGAGTACGAAAGAAATGAGAGGAGAAGTGGATAAAGAGGTAATTATGAAATTCGTGACTTACTGGCAAGGGTCTTTGCAAAGTAGGATTCTCTTTTGATATCATCAATCAGGATGTTGAGTTTAATGTGGAACACTCTAGCAACAACCATCGGTTTGTCTGCGCTACTAAGTCCCAAGATTCCATCAAAAGCTTCTGTGATCTCCCTCCACAATGAATTGCATGTAAATGTGATAAATAAGTCGGGATTTCCTAGGAACTCAACAATAGCCATCGCATCATGGTAGAGTTGATGCATGTAGCGCGGGCTGCCAATATAGGTTCTTGGAAGAATTATGTATCCAACCTTATCTCCATCCATGTCCCCCCGTGCCATAGCATCCTGCAAGCCTTGGTAGACTTCTGCTCGAAGTTCCTTTTGATGAAAGCGCAAATAGGCAAGTCGGTTGAGCTCGATTGAAGAGTAGGCATCGATGCAATAATGTTGAAGCGCCTTGCCTGCTCGCACCAGCGTGTGTCCTTCTTGATGGCGGTACTGCAGTCTGAAAGCACAATATTCACGTTGTGTGACAAACTGCCTGCGCATAGATGCAGGACAACATCTTGCGTTATACTTGATGAGTGGGTGATAACCATCTTCTCCATAGTGGAACAACAAAGGGAAATGCAGAGCATCAAACTTAGGATTCAGACTGGTGATGCGCTTCAGGCCTTCATGAATGTGATCGACAATTATGTCCCGATCATCTCTGTCTGGTACTAAATCTCCTGGAATTAGTGCAGCAATGTCAGAGCTGGTTGGCAAATCATACTGCCGGTTTCGACTCTTAGCACCAAATATTATGAGCTTCATATTTGGGGTGTCAGAGGTTTGCAGCTGTTGCCGAATTCGCCTGAATGTCTTGACCAATTCGTTGTGCTGATCTAACATTTGAAGTAAGGAAGTCAGCAATTCTGGCATAAGATGGGAGTCACGCGAAGCGAAGTTGGATAACCTGTTATCAATTTCATTTTCTGGCTCAAACATATACAGCTGAGCAAACTTCGGCCTCTCACCTTCTGCAGGCAATAGGGAACCTATTCTATGGTAGTTTTTGCCACAGATCACCATCGAATAAGGGCCTCTGCTAGCAAGTGATCTAGGGTCAATTGTAGCTCCAAATGAGGTAAAACAAAGAGAACCATTATATGGGCGGATGTTATCCCTGAAATGCTTGGACATAGGTCCGCCATCTAGTCTCAACAAATCATCCAACAATGGCGACGGTTTCGTTAAAAGCGGCAAAGAAACCCTTCCTTTTTTACAGCACAACACATAGACTGGATTAACTGTTTTACGACGCCGATCAAGCCTTTCCAAATACCAGAACATGGCACCACAGAACCTGCACACACACTCTGGCTTGTCTATGTCAAAGATGTCATTATGCATAGGTAGCTTAGATGTTGGAATGCATCTTTCAGAAACCACAACATCCGGTTCATGAGACTCATTAGGTGTAAAGTTTGTGTATGGGTCTCGAGGCAGGCGTGGAAGTTCATCGTTACTTTGAGTGCTGCTCGAACCTCTGATACTGCACTTTGTAGGTGTGCGTGAAAAGTGATGGTCACCACTTGGATGTTCATATGCATAAAGAGACTCTGCTGCTTGCATTGATTGGCCAGACAAAGCATACTCTGGAACTGAACTGCGCACCCTTTTGAACTTTAAAGGCTGACATTGTTGTTTTCTCTTACGTGGTGGCATGCTTAGCAAAGGACTAACTGCAGAGACAACAGATAAAGAATGAGGGGATAGGATTTTAGTTTTGTGTGTGTTTAGAAGAGCAAATAACATGTAAAGAGTAGAAACAGGAACACGAAGATCATGGATACAATAAATGAGTGAGAGACATGACCTGAATACCAAGATCGGGTGAGTTAATACAACATTTTCACCAAATAGGGAAACTTAATGAGCGAACAGCACACGAATCTGTAATGAAGAAGGCAAGAGTTAAGAGGAAGAATTCAATGCTGTTTGGAGGAAATTGAATTCTTGAAGGGGACAGAGCATTGTCAGTTATGTTTTCAAAATAGAGAGGAAGAAGGCAAAGAGTGTGCTGAGTTGTTGACAAAGGAATATTTATTTTATGTTCTAAAAGCAGAAGACATATTAGCAAAGCGGCCCAACTACAGTAATTTGTATTTAATGGACTCTTATGCAGTAGACAGGTACAGGCGACCGAGCAAACCACTTGCAAGAAGCGACATCAATCAATCGATCATGCTCAGTAATCATCAAGCATTAAATGCTAATTGTAGTACAGCCCCCTGGCACAATACACTCAATCGCAAAGCAAGAACTCTCAAACGATCAAACCACAATACGTTATACAATTTCGAGATGCAAAAATGGTACTAAATATGCAAGTTACTGTGGTGTACCATCCCGAGCTGCATGTGTTGTAAGGAAGTTGTGCGCGGTAATACAAAACGCAATGATTCCCACAGTGCAACACCATCGAACAGACATTTGCAAATATTAACGAATTGCATTGGATCACAAAGCGCCACAGCGGTAAAGTCAATGTAAGTTCGTGACATTCTTCCTCAAATCCACAACGAATAGAATAACACACAAAATGATTTAACGGTGCGAAACCAATCAACACCTAATATATAAGATCGGAGCCAAACCCACCATAACATTGTACAATGCCATGGTACATAAAGGAAAATGTTCTATAGACTTAGTGCATACATAGGAAATAGGAGAACACATAACCTCACCCAAACTCCTACTATTTGCCACACTACAGGGGTTCTCTACAAACACAACTATACACCCTCTTTCATATCGAAGGCTGAAAGGAACCCCTGTACAATCACAAATGAACCCAAATGGACCATAGACCGATGTTCAGTGTACCATACACACATATGTGATGCGAAGAGGCCAGACCCTTGCAAAACACCCACAAAAGACAGCAAAAGTTCCAGGCATTGAGCGATCCACAATGATGAAGAAAGAAGGGTCCTTTAGAAATGTTCCACACCAGCTGTCCATCTGAGCACACCACGAACTTGACAAAATAAACCAACACACCACCCATGAGAGGTAATTCTCGTTCCACAGCAAGAATCACCCCCCACACCTGCAGCAAATAGCGAACTTTCCTGGAACAAACTTCTCTTAGCAGATCCCTTTTTCTGCTGACCAGTTGAACTTTCCTGAGTTCCAATATTGAAAGGAACTGTCACCTCAGCACTGCCGGAGATCCGCCATCAGCAGCATCTAATTTCTCAACCTTGATTTTTTCAAGTGGGGAGAGAAGCCTTACAGGAAGCACACACAACCCAAAAAGGGAATTCAGTAAACACAACCATGGCAACAGTCAAAAAACAATATACTAAAGTTGGTAACTCACAATGAAGCTGAGTGTGATCCACTGGCAGAGGTAAGGATTTCCCAGGAGAAGAGACAGAGTCAGGCTTGGGTGTCTTCAAACTGACAGCTGGGGAACTTGGGTGCACATCCCTTGCATTGGCTGAACTATCAGTCACCGAAGTCTTTTCTGTGACAGCTTGGCCAGGGGATGGATGATCAATAAGGCGTGGCAAAGAAGCTGGAGGCTCACCACCAATTACAAATTCGCCTTCCTGTGTCTTCTAGGCCAAGACACCATGCACCAAGGAATTAGCAGCACCAAGCAATGAATCAGGAATGAGCTCGACTGGGGCAACACGAACAGGTGGACAATCGGGTGGGGCATTGCTTGTATCAGCTAGCGTAAAACCCACTGGAGTTTCTCCTGGAACATCGAGGCCAGCAGAACGACCACTACCATGGTATGACAAAGCAGCCTGTGGCTCAGTTCCAATTACAACCCCACTCCGGTGCGCCCCCTGGGGCAAGCTACTGTAAACCTGTGGATAAGGAGCACTGGCTGACATGACTGGATCACTGGCATTGAGGGGCAACATCGAATCGCTTCAAAAAGGGCAAAAAAAAAAAACAAAAAGGGTAAGGCAAAAGCAAGGAACAAAACCGCACAACACAGAGGACACCACCAAATAAATAGATGCCATCGCAACACCTTGGCGGGTGGTCCCCAATTTGAAACTCCTGAGCAGGACCCTTGAGCAGCAGAAGGTCGGAGACCTTAGCTTTTCCTTTTGCAACACTTGACAGTCTACAATGACCACAGTAAAAGTTCAGCGTAAATAATACGTGGCCCACACTTGTCTGCAAGAAATGGAAGGAGAACACAACGCATTTCTAACCTTGATGTTCCCTCAATAGCTTCAGCTGCACGTGTCCCTGTACCTTCCAATGCAAGGCTCGTATGTGCAGGTGGGACAACATGAATAGGTGCTGGGAGTGCAGGCTGAGGATGATACTCGAGCAAATCAGCAACTTTAGTGTCATTTGCTATGGGGACTACCTGTGTGATGCGAAATTCTCCAGAGGAAAACCCAGCTGGACCAGGCAGTGGAAGCTTGCATTCAAACTTGACATACTGGCCACGCAGCTGGTTAAGTTGAGGTGGGAGCTGCCCAGGTCGGTAAGGGAAGCGCTGTGACAGGTATGCAGCAGATACATTCACCAAAGCATGACCACACCCGCCCATGACTATGAAGCGAGCTTCAGTAGGCCCATCCCTGAGAGTCAATTGAATTTTGTAGCTGAGAAGACACGCAGAGAACAATAACAATGTCAGAGAAGTGAGTACCGATGCACATGACTCCAGATAAACCACATGAGGCAAGTGAAGACGCGCACCAGACACGTGTTTGTTCCTCCTGGAGTTGCCAATCTTTGGCACACCAAAAAAAATTGTCGCGCCTCCTCGAAACTGCCTTAAGACACATACGGCATGAATTGTAGTACCAGGGTATGTGCGACTCAACATCAACAATGACTCCACTACATCGATGCTTCTCCTCCTGTTTAAAAAACCATTGAAACGACCAGTAAAAAAACACAAACAGGCAATCCCGAAACACCGCAATTGTATTGAGCAAAAACATCCGCACCAGATTAGCAATCGTCTGAGAAAACTGAACCAGCTGAGCAAGGGTCTTTGTTCTGCGTTCAGCATCTGCAGCAGCATCCACAGCAGTCGCAAACTCAACTGGCAGAGAAGCAACCACCGCGGGAGCCTGAGCAAACCTGGAGGAACAAAAAAAAAACACACAAAAAAGCAAAAGGCACCAGTTCAGAGAAAAATTCTAACCAAACAACAGACATTGCAGTGACGCCCAACGAACCTGGTTGCAAGGTGGTATGCCTTTGGAAATGGTGGGTTGACAGCCACACGGGTGGCAACCGAACTTGACAAGACATAAGAACCTGAGCAAAAAAATAAAAACACCGCAAGTTAGTCGACAGCGTGAAACCAGGCCCCACAGTGAAGGCAAGAGCTCCCACAAAACACACACGCACTTCCCAGTCTGTTAACCAATAGGCCCCCGAATGCCAGAATGATAGGCTCTATCGCATCCGCCTGGGTCAGAGCAACATGGTCGAGAATAGCCGAGAACTCATCCCACAAGGTTATGGTTGTCTGCTGACCACTGCAAAAGGAAACAAATAGCGAGAAAGGGACGGTGTCACCAGCAGAACAAAAAAGCGAGTCCCGATAAGTCATAACAACAAAGACAAACCTCTCATCCTGTAGAACAACCGTCTGCTTGACGGTGGGGCCACTGTTTGTGATTTTGTGTGATATCCCGCTAATTGAGTGGAGCCGGCCAACAACATCTGCCACAGCGTATGGTCAGCGACAAACAGTGTTTGTAAACCACGGAATAGACAAGGGATGAGACGGCGATCTAGAAGAAAGGCGGCCCGGGAAGCAAACAGTACTCATAAGCAAGCGATGATCACCGTTACGGGAGGGGATCTAAGAAAACGACAGGAACCCGTAAGCATCCTTTGGAAAACTCTCACAAGGGAGAGTGCACGCAGTGAAAGAAGTAGACGGAGTGATTGAGAGGGCCAGATCGAAAGCACACGCGCGGTACAAATTAGGCGGATTGGTCAGACCAAAAGACCGCATGACATATATCTCCCCGACACGCAGACACCGACGGATCCCAGAAGTCATCGTAGACGGCGAGAGGGCATGGATGAGCACACCCTGTACAACCAGCAACGAAGGTGAACAACGCGAAACCACGACAATCAAATTGAAACTAATAACTAAAGAAGACGGTCAGCGAAGAGCAAGACTCACGGTTTCGTCTGCCCACAGGCTGCAGTAGTTGTAATCCCTGGAATCGCCGGGCGATTTCGTAGACCACATGTGAAGGAGAAGGAGCCGCAGAACAACATTTGGTTTGTGAGGGCCGCCGAGATTGCATAGTAACGTATGTTCCATTCCTTAGAGAGAAGCGAGAGAACGAAAGAGCGTTTAGTCGAGCGAAAGTAGAGTGAGAGAAACAAAAAGAGGTTCCAAGCAAAGGCGCAGGCACTATAGCTCAAGTGGAGGCCGGGGTCGAAGCAATTAACGCAGATACAATCATCACCCCAAGTGACAGGGGCGATCAAATCGATCCGCATCACAACCCCAAGTGGCGCAGTCAAATTAAAGAGAGAGGGGCGAAGTGAAAGATCAGAGACAGAGGAGAAAAGTTGCCAGACACTTGAGGCCGGCGCGATCTCCCAAAGAATGCAGGCCGAGCAGTAGAGAGACAACGGAGTGGGCAGAACAGAGAGGAAACGACGGCATGAGGGGCCCACGCATCGAGCTGAAGTACCCCGGACTCATCCCGCCAACGCAGCCAATCAGCTTTGAATGAATAGTAGAAAGTGTCTAGCTGAACAGTCAGATGAGTCTGGAGCTACAGTGATAGGGTGTTTGTGCGATTAACTCTTCTTAATGGTATACAACCTCGGACTTTGGGCCTCCTTGCTCCATTTCAAACTGATACCAGGCCCAACGATATTCCTCAACGGTCAGCCCATATCCAATCATGCTTCTCGGAGAGACAAGTATACAGAAGTCAAAAGCAAGAGAATGAAGAGATACAGTAACAGTAAAAAAGTAATGAATGGATAGATACTGTACTTTGTCTCCTGCGTGTCTGTCCCAATTACACAGCTCCACCTGTCCAAGCAATTCCCTAACCCCCACCTACAAAAAACAAAAAAACAATTAGCAAAAGGAAGAAAGAACGCCACAAGTTTTTAGTTTTCTTCATTTCCTTTCCCCACGCGCCCTCAGTTCCGAACCTCCCCGATTCGCCATTGTTGCTCTGGAATCGGAGATTTCCCACAAAGATTGAAACTTTTCATTCGGGTCAGCCGAGACACAGATTAGGGCTGCAGTAGAAGGCGAAATATCTCCGCCATGGATGCTCCGGCTGGGTATCTCGTGATCCTTACAATTTTAGGGGTTCTGGCATCCGCATCGGAGTCGCTCCGCTTCGACATTCAATCGTCTCATACCAAGTGCATAGCCGAAGATATCAAGAGCAATTCCATGACCGTGGGCAAGTACAGCGTCGTTAACCCTAACGAAGGCCAGGCCTTGCCTGATTCCCACAAACTCACCGTCAGGGTAAAGTTATATACAGAGAGAGCAGTTTTGGGGGTTTCTTTTTCCGAGGTTGATGGGTTAAAGTTGTGGATTTTGTGTTTCTCACTGTTTAGGTGACTTCGAGCTACGGGAATAGTTATCACACGGCGGATCATGTGGAATCAGGACAATTTGCGTTCACCGCTGCTGAGGCTGGGGATTACATGGCGTGCTTTTATGCGGCGGATCACAATCCTGCTATCACTTTGACGGTGGATTTCGAGTGGAGGACTGGTGTAGCTGCTAAGGACTGGAGTAGCATTGCAAAAAAAGGATCCGTGGAGGTACTTTTTCTTTAACTTCTTCACTTGCATCTCAAATTTCGAGCTTTCTCACTTGGTCAAACTTAATGGTAGGGTTTCAATCGATATAGGTGAATAGTATTGAGAGGTTTAGGTAGTTGGATCTCTGAGGATCATATGTAACTGATTGCGTGGAAGAGATTCCTTGATTGGTTTCCCTAGACGGCAGCCTTTGTTGGCTGAGCTTCAGTAGTCTCACTCGTCACTTGAGCCTTGCTGAATGCCGTCTGAAGTGCTGATGTTTTGGAGTTGGTCTGTGGTTGAATTTTATTGACATAAGGATATTGGTTGACCTGGCGTCTACGCTCGTTGAATGTTCAGAAGAGATTCCCCACAGTCCTTGTAGTCTCCTTGTTATTTGAGTTACTGAACAAGTGATGTGAAACATTAGTCCTTGAGTTAACTGTTGTGTTATGTGACAAAGCACTGCATGATCTTCAATTTCAGATTTTATAGCTGTTGTTTGTTTGGCTCGCACTTGTATGAGCAACTTGGACCCGGGCCTGAGATGAATTTCAATTCAACCTTTCGTTTATGGATAAGAAAGAACACTGAAGAATTCTGTAATGTTTCTTATCTACTACATGGAGTTGATATCTACTTTGAGCTTAGGTTACTAAGTGGAATCCAAAAAACTGTCCTTTTTCTCTTTGGGAGATAAGGAACTACATGGAATAGATATTGGCTTTGAGTGACATGAAATCTCCATCAATGTTGGTCAACAAAACTTGAGTGTCATTGATCACGTGCGATAATAAAAGGTTGCATAATTTTGGAGTTGAAGATGGATTCGTCGGATTCCCATGTACTGACGGGACCATGACATTCTTTCTTCATGTTGCTAATAATTGATAGGATAGATTTACATTGGTCATCCTTATCATTTGGTTGTAATGACGATATAAACGCTCACACTTGCTTTGTTTCTTTCTTCTGCTATTATCATAATTCTGTGTTCATTGAACTAAGTTCTATAGTTGAGCTCAAAGGCTTTGTCTTGCCTTATCAAAATGGAGGTTAGCTTTACAATTTCTGATCTTTGGATTACTTTTATCAGGCAATGGAACTGGAGGTGAAGAAATTGTATGACACTACTATAGCCATACAAGACGAAATTCTCTACCTGCGTCAGAGGTAGCGACACTTTCCCATTTCTCTCCTTTAACATGAGGTTGCTAAAGGGGGCCTTCCGAAAATAAGTTGGTGTATTGGGTTGTTGTTGGTGTTGCAGGGAACAAGAGATGCAAGAACTGAATAGGTCGACCAATTCGACTATGGGGTGGCTCGGCATTTTCTCCCTGCTGATGTCTTTATCAGTTGCCGGCTTCCAGTTTTGGCACCTCAAGACATTTTTCGAGAAGAAGAAGATCATTTAACTTCTCTCTAACTCTATTTGCTTTCTTTCTTTATGGCCAAGGTAGACATCCTTTTTTTCCCCCTCTCCTTTCTTCAGTTTCCCTTTTCCTTTTACTTGAACTGTAAAATGATACACAAGTGTTGTAGTACTCGGGAATAATTTCAGAAGTTCATCATTAGAGAAGTAGCAAATTTTTAGGTGCCACAGCGGTGTTCCTTTTCTTCCTTCCTTTGCCTGATTCTGAGAAGTAGCAAATTTTTAGGTGCCACAGCGGTGTTCCTTTTCTTCCTTCCTTTGCCTGATTCTTAGTCATTACATTTGGAATGAACAAGCTGATGCATTCCGCATTGACGATATACCTTACTTGTGAGTTGTGAATAGCGGTCGGCACGTGGGTGGATAATATACGGTTTTGCATCGATTTACCCACAAATAACTTAAATTGTGGTGGATGGGTGATTGATATGAGTGGATTGTGAATCGAAATCTCGTACTCGTACTTATCAGGTGGATAACAGGTGGTTGCGGGTCATCTGAATGATCTGCACCCCATTAATTTAGGAAACCGTTGTTTCTTGTTTATACTACCAAATATATTTCTTAACCGACAATATACACCGACTATCAACTTCTAAAGGTGGAAAATAAATATAGAATATTTTTGGCTATTGTTATGGGTCACTATTTTATGTATTGTTCATTTGGTGGGCCAATATTTTATGTAATGTGCATATGCAAATTATAAACTATCACTTGTATCTAAGTTGGAAAAAAAAAAAAAGAAATTTTTTGTACATAATTGGTTGATGAAGTAATGAAACAATTGATACAAGTACTAAACATCTCCATAGGAGACAAATGAGAGGTGTCTAAATTGATGTAGTCTTACTAATTTGTGGACGCATTGATAATGGGTTGGGTATGGATGCAGTGACATGTGGGTTTGGGGGTTTGTAGATGAGTTTGGGTAATGTATGGATATTGCTTACATAATCAAAATGAGTATGGGTTGGATATTGATATCCATTTATTTGGGGATGTTTTAACTACACATACAAAAATTAGACCTATTTGTAAAAACTTGAAAAGTTTAGGTACTAAAATGTAAGCCAAACAAATTAGGTACTAAAATGTATTTTTCTATTGATATTTTGAGGACTTGTGTGCTAAAATTTTAAATTTGGGTACTAAATTTGCGTATCTCTTAAGTTTAGGTATCCAACTGTAATTTGTATTTGAGCATGGGTACAAACTCAAATCAACCCAACCCAAATAAATGTGTATGGATACAAACCTATCAAACTCTATCCATATCCATCTATTTGAATTTCCAATCCAACCCAATTAAATTGTGTAGTAAAATATTAAAGAGATGCAAAATTGCTATCCCGTTGATACTTGATGAGAGGCTGGACTCCACTGAATTGTTCCATGATGGATTGAGAAGAGAAACTCTAAACTAGCCTTTTGTACACTTGGACAGTTTATGGTACAAAAGTCCAGGGAATGAAAGAAGATATAGACTGCAACTGGGCCAAAAAGGACACATGCTAGAGAACACAATCTCTATTCAAGGTTCTCCTACAAAGCACAGCTATAACTAGGGGTGTTTAAACGGTGTGGTTATCATGGTAACCGTTTTAACCAGTACTATTTGGATTTTTTAGTTTGGTCAATTTGGTTAATTGGTTTGGTTTGGTTTGGTTAAAGTTTTTAGCTTGTTTGGTTTAGGTGGTTTGGTTTCAGACACTCCTAACCAGCCAAACCAAATTAACCAGATAAATAATTAGCCATATATCTAATATATACACATACTTAATACTTTGAATAACCACTCAAGAGTTAAACGTTCATCCCTTTTAGACTCATAAAATATAAAGCTTGATATTGCTCCTATAATGTATATTTATATATGTAGAGTGTAGATCACAACATATGAACGCCTAATTTAGATAAATCTCATATATTATGTTGGATGAAAACTTGAAAGCAAGGTCCTTTTCAGCCTATGAAAATTGCTAAAAGACTAAGTCAATTCAAACAAACACAAAAATACATTAACCCATACCATTGTGATAAATTTTTATTAGGTGAATACTTCTATACTAACCGTAAGATAATTGTCTTAGTTGCATGTATTTATGTTAATGGTCAACTATAACTATGTGTTGATAGTTATGTTTTATTCATTATATAAATTGTTAATTGATAAATTAACCGAAATTTTCTCACTTAATGATAATGTGATTTTATATTGATTAATCTGGTTAACCAATTAACCAAATCGATTAAACTTTAATTTGGTTGTATTAGTTTGGACGGTTTGATTATGATATTGTATTCTATGGTTAATGAAATTTAGCCTTATTTGGTTTGGTAATAACCATGGTAACCATTTGAACACCCTAGCTATAACTTCGGGAGAAAAATATATTTTGCAGTGCAGAGATTCAACCAAATAGAAGAGATCTCCCTCTCTTATGTATGAACAGCAACCAGGTCCAAAAATTGGCTTGCCCATGGGAACAAATGCTTTTACCACACTATTGACATCCAGTATTTGCAGGGTTCGAACAATCATGGTGCACCAGGAAACTAAATCCTAGCGAGAAGCAAACAACACTGTTGGTCATAAAACTTTTTGCTGGACTGCTGCTCGCTTTGGTCATGAATTGAATATGTGCCAGTGATGATCTGACGGTAAAACTTCCTTAATCTTCTCCAGCCTCTTGAGGATTTCCAAGAACGAAGGTCTTCTATTCATGTCAGCTGCCCAGCATTGGTCTGTCAAACTGCACGACATAATCAATCGTCAAAAAGGGAAACCTCTTCAACATAGGAAGCAAGGACAATGGACAATCCACTTACTCTCGCAGCTCAGGGATGAACCCTTTAGAACGGAATATTGGCCTGTGTCCTTCAGCTACGTACTTGGCTGCTTCATAGGGCTCATAACTAGCAAGTGGTGGCTCCCCTTCCAGCATCTGTCACCAAAAATCAAGATATGCAATGATTTAAACCAACTGCGTTTGACAGCCCGCCCTTTCCTTTTCCATCTTTGCAGGAATTGGAATTTTACCTCGTAGAGTATCATTGCGAAGGAGAATACATCAACCTTCTTATCATATTTCCGGTGCTTGAAAACCTCTGGAGCCATGTACCGATCTATTGTTTTTTTATTTGTTAAAAAATATATCACAAGAAATTAATTAAAAAGATAGTTATAATAGGGCATGACAACAATAAGCAATAAAAGGCACTTACAGCTTCCAGTCTCGCCAGTCATTTTGTACACATCATGAGAGTTCTGAACCTTGATGAGCTTGCTCAATCCGAAATCTCCAACTTTCAAGTGGTCTGCACTGGAGTTGACTAAAAGAACATTCCTGCAGTTTTTTCCGGTCAATTTGTAAGTAGACCACAGGTTGCCTGAAATAAAGGAAAAATCTCGTCCTACTGAATGTAGGACATGACTAAATAGCGCACCTTGGTTTCAGGTCTCTGTGAACGATGACATTTGGCTCATTGTGCATATATGCCATGCCTCTGTTGTGCAGGATTTACAACATAGATTAGTATTGAATCTGCTAAGGCAGAACTCACATGAGTAGAAAGAACCCTAGAAAATTGAATATTATGGTTTTCAAGATGCACAAGTTCATTGGCTTTTCATTTGCCAAAACATTAAATGCAGAGAGTACTATTATAGCTTAACTAAGGGAGAGTGCGCTCCAGCAAAATTTCATCTAGAAAAATTATCGGAATTGTTTTGGTAACATGTTTATATCTCTCAAAGTCGAAACAAAGAAATCACACATATTGACCAATTAATCATAGACGATGAGAGGCAGTGAAATACCTGGCTATGTCCATTGCGAAGTTAATCGCTGTTGAAGGACTAAGGGCACCCTTTTCCTTGAGATACTGATGAAGGTCGCCCTATAAACGTGGGAATAAATACTAATATGGTCAGGCAACAACGATCAAGGAAGTTAACTTTTCAGATAACTGATTATGGCTGTTTCAGAGAGACAGCAAAATATTGAAGAAACACATACCCCTCTCAGGTACTCTGTGATTAACATGAGGGGCTTCTTCTCGGTGACAGCCCCAAGAAATTGGACTATGTTTGGGTGACGAAGCTTCACTAGCAAATTAACTTCATGCCTGAAGTCTTGACTGTATAGGACAAGTGAAGATAGGAATTTTTAGGAGGTCGGAGAGATAGGAGATAGGCAACCAAATGCCTGAAATAGCATTTTCAGTACATTAAAGTATCATTTACTTGACCCTGCTAGGTAATATGGAAGTAGGGGCATTATGTTCTTTAAGTTTAAAGAGTGTTGGTTCAATCTTAAACCCTGGTCTGGAGAATTATTTGTATCATTCAGCTTACATATAATTAAAAGAAGCAATCATAAAAGAGGTCACAGTATTCATAATAAATGCTCTTAGAAAACTTAACTTCAAGTTCAGAGATCAAAACTGTCACAGTTCATATCACAATGTATACCAGCCAAACTGCCTATAACATAGATCAGTCAAACATAGCCATCAATTACAAACTTAAACTTACATCACTAGTCTATCATCTGAAAGGGATGGAAGAATACGTTTCACAGCTACAGGTGTTCCACGCCAACATGCTTTCAAAATCTCACCAAATGATCCCTGCCATTGCAAGGAATATTAGCAAATGCAGGCACAGACTATACCTAGACAACTAACAAAAAAAAAACCATGGTAATATGACTAGAACACTAAATACCAGCACAAAAACAAACCTTCCCAATCATAGAAGAGTTCGAGAAGTCCAGCTCAGACGGGTCAATTTCCCAATCACACTTGTTCGGTAGTGGTGGTGGAACAGGCCTCGGTTCAAAGTGGCTACCATTTTGTCCCTGTAGTAAAGAGTAAATCCAAGCTTGAGAGTCGAAAGCTAGTGCATGCATTTGCACTTTACCAACTCCATAGAAGCAAACGAACATTACATTTGCCAACACACAATAGAAAAGAAAGTGCAAATGGCATTCGAAACTGTATTTACAGGCGTCAATTACTTGAATAAGAACACGATAGAGCAGTAAATCTCACTGTAAATTAGCATAGTAGCACTCGGTTGAGAGTTCAGAACAAAGCCACAATAAACGAATTGGAAGTTAGAGAGAGTGGACTCACATAGGACAAACCACCATACGACTTCAAAAGCTCAATCATGTTATGCTTTTTAGCTCCTTCGGCGTCAGCTAATGGCTGCCACCACCACAAGAAAATTCGAATGGAAATCGCACGCAGAAACCGAATCAACGGTGGGAGTAGAAGAAGATCAAGAAGTAGAAGAGAATTACAGTGTTCTTCCAGCGATCCTGAGCGTTGACATCGGCGCCGAACTCAATCAAGCACT